ACACACACACACACACACACACACACACACACACAAACATGCACTCACACGCAGGATTACAAACACATGCATATTATAAAAGAGCAACAATATAACAATAATAATCTTAAGCTTGATACATACTCAATCTTATTCTGATGTACACTCTAAGGTCATATAAATATTTATAGCAAAATGGTTAAGATGGGAGCATTTTGATGGATGATGGTAAAATAATCTTCTGTATCTTTTTTTGTTACAGATCAGAAGCCTAGGTCTTTTACTTCTGACTGATGTTTTTGAGGTAACAAGGAATGTTTGTTGTCTAAAAAGATGGAATTAATTTTTCTAAATGCAAGCTGTTATGTACAATTCATCCAAGTAGCGGAATGTAGATGTTGAAATTTCATATGTTTACGTTCATATAACCTGAAAGGTGAATATGGGCTTTGCAAAGGAACAAAATGTCATAGAGGAAAAGTTCACGCTTTTCAAGACTATCGAGGAATCATGAACACTTTGCTGTCCTCTGATAGCTTCACGAACGGAAAAATGGTTCAGTGGTAGATTAAGATCTGCCTTTGACAACTCGGACCGTTGAGATGTAGGAAAGTCATTGCTGCAGACATTGCCTACGACAGACGAGTCATGGGACTCATCTACTGAATTCTGCACCCTGGTGACGTTTAAAGGGGTGCGAAGGGTAAATGTTTGGCCTGAAGTGGTCGTTTTGTCAGGAACTTTTTTGTTCTGATTCTCTACAGGTCCTAACTGATGGATCATTTAAACCCTTAACATCAAAGAAGGCCTTAAGGGCACATTAACATTATTTCCGTACTTTGTGCGAAACTTACGAAATGAGTTGGTGGTGAAAAAATGTTCAACACAAAAAGCTTTCTGCTCCTTACTAATATTAACCATGATCTCAGCAGGCAAAGGAAACTTGAGAGAAACTACTGTAGTTTGCAATATGGCGCAATCGTTGGGATTTTTAGTGGTAGCCCTAATGCGAACCAGTGCGTCATGCTACAAAAATGGGGACATAGCTGAAAATGGGTTGTTTTTTAACGCGCTATATAGAGCAGAACTGTTCTGTGGATTTTTCTATGAATATTAGACAAATTCCTTTTGACTTCCAAATGTTGAAGCGCAAAACTTCAGTGTGGAGGAAAATATTAACAAAACATTTGTACAGATTTTTTTTGATCACCCTGTAGATGAATATACTGATTCTCTATTTCGCTCTCGTGGATTATATATACATATAGAGGTTAAACAGAAGAAAGAACTCACGGGATTCTATGAGCCACATACTCATCAGCGATCGCGTTTTCCCAGTGAATCAACTTGCGCTTTTTCCTCTGTAGGCGGTGGTCTGTGTGCATGGGCTCACTGCTCCCGTACACTCTGCCTGTAATAATAATAATAA